TCTGAAATGCCTTTGAATTTCAACTCGCAGCAATGGATGCAATGTCCAACATGAAAGACCACAGCCTGCAGTTTCTGGAGGTCCTGAGGCAAGATGTCAACAGCATCCTGTTGGAAGATTTGGACTCTCTTCGCTTCTGGGCGTGCTGTGCTCTGGCAGCTGCTTGCTGCCTGACTGTGCTGGCGCTGCTGCTGGCCTGGGCCGGCGACAGCGGTGCTTTGCTTGGGTGCCGCCACAAGACCCAACTGAGAGGTCTTCACAACCGTTCGTCTACACCCTGCTGCAGAGCGAGAGCGGGGAGGAGAGTGGCTTGAAGGGCTTGGAGGATAACGCATCGGCGCCTAGCTGCATGCCAGTCCTCAAGGCGGTCATTGTCTCTGTAGTGTCCTACGCCTTGCTGGGAGTTTGCCTTTTCATGTCCATCTTCAGTGCAATCCTGGCCACTAAGGTGGGGTGTCAGTGGAGAAAGAGTATAATTTGCTGTAATCTTCCGGCAAAATCGAGGGTCAATCGGTCCTTTTTCCTGTCGCAGGGGACCACCTCATGAACATATTCAAACTGTTGACAAAATACTCAAGACGGCGCCCAGGTGCTGATGGACATTCAGAAGCCAACGGTGCCAACTGGCCTGCCTTCAACACCTTCGCCCTTTTCGCTGGCGCGGCTCTAGCCGGGCTGGCTGTGGTGGCTGGGCTCTTCGCCAGCTCCTTGAAGCATTTGAGGCGCATCCGCCGGGCGTGTAGGTCCGAGTTTGTCAGCAAGGTTGCTTTGAGTCTTTGCAACTCCAGAAATAAGCCGCATGTCTGAGTTGCGTTCGGTGTGCTTTTTCACCTCAACACTCAACACACCCCCTTCGACAGCAAGTCCGGAAAGCGATGTTGCACAGCAATTGCAAGACATTCAGAGGGAACTCCACACTCGGAGCTTGGAATATCCGATGCCGCAGTCTGGAATCCAGCGACATTCCCACTGGCGACTGTTGGAACATCAGTAAACACAATGAGTTCGTTGGCGCTGGAATCACCTGTCTTAGCAGTCAAGTTTGGGGCACTAGGCTTAAACACGTACAGCAGGACCCGTTTCAGGGCAGATCCAAAGCGTGCATGCTCAATGATATGTTACTTTTCGCGCCCCCCAACCCTCCCCCCCTTCCCCCTTGGATGAGCAGCGGGACAGGCCCACTGTTAGAGGTGGACGTGATAAAGCAAGAGATCAAAGATGGTCAAAGCCTCCGCGGAGGTGCTCCACAAGAATTCAAAGCAGTTTGCACATGTCGCGTGCATCTCTTGGCCAACCCTCAGTTGTGTCCCAGGAGTTTCATGGCTTAGGCGTCTTTGCCTCCATGTCAGCCCATTTGGAGAAGTTACGCGCTGCAAGCAAGATTCTTTGATCCCACGGTGCCGGCAAGTCTCCCTTCTGACTCCCCCTCAAGATGTAGACTACCGGAGCAACTGTACAAGCGGCTTCTTTGCTGCGTCGAAAGGGTGGCGGTACAACAGATGCGCCGCGTGTGGGCTTAGAGAAGTGCTCTGAGAGTCCGTATGTTTGAAGTCCCAGATGTTCTGGTGTGTCCGGGCCGTAGGATAGCATGTGCTTCCACTTCAAGGGGGGGGCAGCGATAATGATCGGCATGCGAAGCTCTCCTGCCCTTAGTGCCAATGGGCCCTTTAAGCCGACCTGCCATCGTTCCGTCCCTCTTTGCCAGGCACCAGGAGGTGCATGCCTCCGAGTTCTTCCAGGTCACAGAAGAAGGAGTCCGCCGCTGGCGGATGGACCCGCTGTCACTCATGGAGGACCGGGCGCAGCATCTCTCCGCCGCTTGGAATGACACCAAGTCAGCTTGGCCAGCCTTAATTATGGCCATCATCGCCAAGAGTAGGGCTTCCTTTCTGTTGGACATTGTGTCAGACTTGGTGGTGGCACAGCAGCTATGGGAGTTCCACCAGGAGCTGGCAATCACCACCTGTTTGATTGTCGCGCTACCCTACCTGATGCTTCCGGCCATACTGGGGCCATCAGGTTTGCAGCGCCTTCTATGTGCACTGCACCCCAGTTTGAAGACGATGCTTCAGAGCTTGGGGCATCGACCAGTACTGGAAGGCATCGTTTTTGCCGCCCTCGCGGTGCCCGGCTTCCTGCTGGTGGATGTGAGCTTCGTGCTGCAGCACCTGATCTCGGAACCCGCGACACCCGCCCTCTTCCACTACTGGACTCTACGGTCCCTGGTGGAAGTGGCCTGGGAGTCCAACCTCCAGGCGGGCCGTGGCCAAGACCTTCGAAACAATATGCTTTAGTCAGGGAGGGTGTTGACGCCTGTTTGCACAAAAACAACTGGAAAACGAGGCTCCGGCTTACACCGATATGACTTTTACTTCGCAGGAATAGTTCTTGCCACCTGCAAGATCAGCGCAGCGTTCATCTTTCTTTGCAGAAAGAACGGTTGGAAGTCTTTCCATGTCTTTCTGTTTGAGGACAGGGTTTCAGTGCCACGCAGTGGCGTCGACGGCGTTGAAGCACAGAAGTGCCCACACGGCAACAAGATCATTACAGCGCCGCTAGGAACCTGCGGTTGATGGGGAGCAACACCGTGAAGTGCACAAAGAGCAGTAGGGCCCCTCCACACTCGATAGTCTGATTTCTGACCGGGCTCGGCAGCTTTTGCTCGCTCAGGTGGCCTTGCAAAGCTACATCTGGATCCGACAAGAGAATCTCTTTGGAGTGATGGCCCCTTTCTCAGATGACTCAGATGCGTCAGTGAACATCGTCTTTCTGGGAGTGAGCATCGCCTCGAGTGCCCTTGCCACGCTTGAAGGCCGCCAGACGAAGTGGTGTGTCTTTGTTGGCTTTGTCGTTTGATTCCGGTGAGGGGGGCAACATGTTAGAAGGGGGAAACCGCGTGAATCCACTCAAAAGCTTGGCAGAGGCTTGTCGAAGTTGTCGACTTTCGCAGCTTTGCAGACTGGCAGCAGCCGGTGGCGCTTCGTGCAAGCTATGCTGCGAGGAGGACAAGGCCTGGCGCCGTCCAACTTGTTGAATGACATGCTGCGACAGAAGAGGGTGGAGGTGGCAGAGGACCTGACGTCACTGTCAAGGTATGGATGGGATTCGCTCTGCAGGGCCGCAGGCCAATCCAAAGTTCTCCGGAGTCTGACCTTCGACGGGCGCTTTCTGCAGAAGTTTGTGGACAGCACAGACTTCATTGGAGCAAGGAACAGCTTGGGTGTCATCTTCCAGAATCAGAAGCTGCAAGAGCTCCACATCGCCAACCTGCCGCACCAGTACCAGCAGCACGTGGACAAGTCCACTGCAGCGCACCTGGCCCTGGAGCGCAGCGAGTTGCGCCGAAGACTGGCTGCCGACCCCGTCTTCGCGGCGGCGGTGCAGGGCGACGTGGAGCCGCTGCGCCTCCCGACGAGGCCCGGGCTCCTGCAGGACCTGGCGCGCTGCGGCCAGGCCCGGGCCCTGCAAGTGTTGCTCACGGAGGCCAAGCACAGCACCGAGGAAACCGCCCGTGCACTTTGGTTCGCAGGAGAAGAGGGCCACGGGGCCGCCGTAGAGCTGCTGCTCCGGGCCAAGGCCGATCCAAAGCAGGTGAACCCGCGAAACGGTGCCTTCCCGCTGCTCATGGCGGCCAATTACGGGCACACCGAGCCCGTGAGGCTGCTGCTGGAGGCCAAGGCCGATCCAAAGCAGGTGAACCACCAAAGCGGGACCTTCCCGCTGCTCCAGGCGGCCCAGCAGGGGCACACCGGGGCCGTCCTGCTGCTGCTGGAGGCCAAGGCCGATCCAAAGCAGGTGGACCTGCAAAGCGGGAACTTCCCGCTGCTCATGGCGGCCCAGAATGGCCACACCGAGCCCGTGAGGCTGCTGCTGGAGGCCAAGGCCGATCCAAAGCAGGTGGACCCGCAAAGGGGGAACTTCCCGTTGCTCATGGCGGCCCTGGAGGGGCACACCGAGCCCGTCAAACTGCTGCTGGAGGCCAAGGCCGATCCAAAGCAGGTGAACCCGCAAAAGGGAACCTTCCCGTTGCTCGTGGCGGCCGGGAAGGGGCACACCGAGCCCGTGAGGCTGCTGCTGGAGGCCAAGGCGGCCCCGGAGCAGCGACATCCACAGTTCGTCACCCCTTTGGAGCTCGCATCCGGCGAAGGTTTCACTGAAGTCGTGGAAGCTCTCAGGCGCGGCTCCGGCTGAAGCTGCCTTTTTCGAGCTCATTTCCACAGTTGTCATTTTCAAAACACTGTTTCACTGTTTCACTGTGCTGGACTGCAGAGCGAAGCCACGGCCACGACTACTTCGAAAAGGCCCCGAGGCAGTGAGAGGAGCTCAGTCTGAGCCTTCCGCACGCCTTCGCCAGGTGAGTGGCGACGCTGGGCCAGGAGAGAGCGCTGGGGAGGGAGCCGTGCCTTTGCAGCTCCCACCTTGCTGCTTTGCCAGGTGCATGGCATGTTGGTTGAGGGCCCCTAAACCCTAAACCCGATTGTCACGAGTCATGACCTGTCTAGCTGCATGGGTTGGGTTTGCCATGACTCGCAGGTTTCCACGACATGCCGCAGATTCGCCGCTTCTGTGACAAGAGCGAGCTTTAGCAGGCCGCCCTTCTCTTGCGGAAGGGTGACTCATTTGGGGTCAAAGTGGGGTCAAGTGAGCCCCCTGTTTCAGGATGAAGAGAAGTATGTTTCCTGTTGAAACTATACATGTTTCCTGTTGAAGCTATACAGCTTTAAGGCTGAGTGGGTGTCCCTATGTCTCTTTGGGCAAGCCTACAGCTGCCACAGCTAAGGGACCAGAGGGGTTAGGTACATCTTTTTGATGTTTTGAATGGACCTTTTCTGCCATGTTTGCTTTTCTGGGGGCGGGGGGGGGGGGGGGGNNGGGGGGGGGGGGTCTCTGCAGACGGTAATCAGGTGTGAACCTGAGCCTTACGAACTTGGCGTGCGACTCAGGGGACTTACGTGCGTCAGGGGAGCACTGTGCAGAGTGTGAGTTAGCCTGATGTGTACTCCTTCAAGCCGTTTTGTGTTCGTTGCAGCTCTTTGTCACGTTCTTCCTGCAGACATGGAGGACGCCGCTGGTAGTCCGCGCGCCTGAAAACCCTGAACTAGTTCCGTCTTGCGCGTGAGTGGTAGCCTCCAATGGATCTCGGTTGCCTCCCGAATGCCCCCCCTTTGCCCAGGTTCCCTCCTCGACATCCAGCTTCGGCGCAGCACAGAGCTCAACTTGCGGTAACTTGCGCAGCTTATAGCAGTTGATTCTGCGTGATTTCCTTGTGTTGGCATGCTTGTTGAACATTCTTGGAGTGCGTGCTGGGAACAAGCTCACATGCAGCCGTTTTTGTATTTTCGGTTTTTGCTCTAGATGTTTTCGACTTCCCATTGGACATGCAAGCCGACATCGGTGACGAATTGTCGGCAGAAAACGATGCTGTCATTCCTGTCACTGTGCCAACCACTTTTTGACCTCACATTGGGCGTGCAAGTAGATGTTGAGAGATTTTGTCTGGGAGACAATGACGCTGTCATGTTTGTCACTCTTGTCACTGGGAACTCTGGGAACTCCGCACATGTATCGACTGGTTCCGGGGCCTCTCTGGGTCCAGCGTTATAGAGGTAGACGACACAGCGACAGGACAGGAATGACGGCGTCATCTTTGGCCGGCGAACAAATCTCTCGAGATATGCTTGCATGTCAACCGTGAGGTCAAAGTTATCGGCACAGTGACAGGAGGGACAGGAATGACAGCTCATTTTTTTCCTGGCAAAACCACCGATGTCTGCTTGCGTGTCGAGCGTGAGGTTATAGTTCAGTTTGCTGTGACGAGTGGCGTTGCATGACATGTAGCTGCGTCCCGCTCAGTTGTGCACTGCATCGACGTCGTCGTGGTGGAGCCACCGCCTCATACTGCAGTCTCTACAGAGTCTTTGGAAGTGAGTGTTCTGCACATCATGCCATTCTGAGAGCCTGTGTCCTGCAACTCAGTCCGTGATTGAGCCTAGAGCGTTGTCGCCGCACTGTAAACCGGTTCCCAGCACATCCCAGCACGACGGTGTAGGAAGAGGCTGCTTGACTTAGGCGGCTGCATCGGCGTACTGCACAAAATCATCAAAAACACATAACTATTGCGATGATCATTGCCTTGTAATCATTATTGCGATCATTCTTGCTGTCATCATTATTATCATTATGGTGGAAGCTGCAAAGCAAGGGTTTGTGACTGACGCGACCACGGAGCCCGCAAGGTCTCAAAAGCGAACACAACTGATCCCCGAGGCTTCTGCAGCCCCCATGCGGCACCCCTAAACCCTATAGACCCTGAGCCCTAAGCAATAAACCCCGGCTTTCCCAAACCCGAAATCCTTGTCAACAGAGCTTCCACTCATCTTCGGGGTCGCGAGACGGGACTGCTTAAAGGGTGTGTGCAAAAAAGGGTCTTCCGTTGGGGCTTGTATATAGAGGATCTGTATGACTGTATGAGTTCTATGAAAGACGTTGGGCGACACATACTTTACTTACTTTGGAGACCATCTGCGAGACGCTTTGCAAGTTTGAAGACTGCCGAAATATTGCTCGTTGTGGCGTGACCGCTCTTAAACTTAGTTTTATAGTCGTCCAGGCTGTCATTCTGATTGCAAATGTAACAGGTACTTGCTACTTCCAATGTTGCTGCTCTTCGTATTCTTAATAGCTGATGGTTGTCATTTCAAAGGTCGTCGTTGCTGCTATTATGCTTGTCTTATCGCGATTGGTGCTACTATCATTCTTAGTCCTATGATTATTGCCTTTAGTGTTGTTGTTGAGTCCGGGTGGTGACGGGTGAAGTCCAACATGCTGAACTCAAGGGTTGAGGGCTTTGCAGGGTTTTCTGGTGGGCTTTCGTGATTTCCAGCACCGGTTAGGGTCTTTCCTGTGAGCATGTCGCTCCGAAAGGGCATCTATGGTCGAGAGCTGTCCTGTGAACGGCCGAGGGCCGACAGCCTTCCCTTGAAGACACAGCAAACGCCCGGCGCTTACATCGAATCGTCGGCTCTGTTGCAGCTTGGCCGGAGGTCCAGGCACTGGCTCAGCGCATCGATCGAGCTTCTCCTCGTGGCCTTGATGCGGCTGTTGATCTGCTTTGGATCCGGAACGAGGCAGCGCTTCGCGGGAGGGTCGAGTTGAAGAAGTCCAAGTTGGGTTTGTTGTGCGAGCACCCTATGCTCCTGCACATCCGTCTCTCTTTGGCTAGCATCCTCAAACCTAGCATGCACCACCTCATCGTCCATTAGCATGGAAACTCGATGCCGCCTGCACAGCGGGTGCTTCGAAGAAGCTAGGAAACATTATGGGGCTCCTGCTACAACGACCACGACCGGCGTGAAGGTGGCTGTGAAGGTGACTGTGCCGCCCACTCCTGCTGCTACCACTACCACTATGCCAAACATTGCTATCAAGCTGGGGCCGGGGGAGGTTAATTTGGCTGCTGTTCCTGATGAGACGGTGGCGCCGGTTCCGGTGCAGGGCGGAGCACGCGAGCGACGCCGAGCTGAGCATGGTCAGCTAGCACCTCACGAAGTCGATGCTGTGCACTTCATGCAGATGCCCGACGAGCTTTAGAGGCCTGGTTGGCTAAGAGCAGCGCCGCTTGAGCGCTTAGTTTTGAAGATGGTTTGAGCCCCGGGTCGAAGCATTCGGAGCGCGACGCGAGCCCAACGAAAGCGGCTGGTCTGGAGCTGTGCTGAAGCGCGAAAATCATCAGCACCTCTCACTCGCGCTCCGGCAGTCTCAGTCTCGATTCCTTCCAACAAACGCGAAAGGTTCAGAACCTCTTGGCGGAGCGGCCGCTGGGCGTTGCCTCTAGCTGAGAGAGCCGGCGGTTTCTGCAGCGCTGTTTCCGAATAGCGTGGCAGCTTCTGTAGTATAGTGTGTACAACCCAGTGCCGATGCTAGATTGGGAGAAGTTTCCTGTTCAATCTTTACGCATCCCTTCTTCTAAGCCCCCAAACCTCGAAACCCCATACCCCCAGCCCAGATAATCCGTCGGGAGGCCTCTGGGACACACATACATGTAGTAATTGTGATTACTTCTGGTAATAATACGAATAACAATAGCAATAATAACAGTACAAGTAGTAGTGCTAGCTACTAATGAAAATACAGATGAGGACAATAATGACAACATTGACAATCGTAGTAGCAGTAGCAATACTGACAACTCAGCTTCGAAGACCTTCTCAAGCCCTGAACCGCCCTATGTGAGCGAGGTCCGCCCTGCAGTCAACCCCAACCCCGATCTCGCTTCCAGTTTCGGCCCTGGCTTAGGGTTTAGGGTTTAAGGTTCAGGGTTTAGGGTTCAGGGTTTAGGGACAATAATCGCAATCCGTTGTGCCAATGATGACATGCCGTAGGTAACCTCATAAGGAAAGAGTTCCTTCCACTTTTTCTGGTGCTCGGGTGGTGGCTGGATTCAAGACTATAGTCACCCTAACCCTAAACCCTAAAACCCTAAAACCCTAAAACCCTAAAAAACCTTACAAAACCCGAAACCCCCTAAACCCTAAAGCCCTAAACCGTCTGAGCCCGAAAGCTTCGGACCTTTCTCGCTCCCGGCTGAGTCTTGGCCTCTGCCGCGAGGCCGCACGGCCCGGGGCCTCGGTGAAAGTTGGGCTTTGGAGCACAGCTTCTCACAGAGGGTTTAGGGGTTTAGGGGT